AGGGTGAGGTGCTTCACTTCTTATAGCAGCAGTGATGCCCCCAGCTATGCCTCTGGCAGACGCTGGCCATGGGGCAGCTGCTAGCATGTCTCCTGAATGAGGTGGGCTCAGGGGGGGGATGAGTCCTGAAAGTAGCACCCAGGGGTGGGTGGCACTCACCGAAGGGTGGATAGGAGACCCCAGTGCAGTTCAGCTCATCGGTGCCATCGGGGCAGTCATGCCAGCCATCACACACAGACTCCAGTGCCCGGCACTCGCCATTCCCGCAGGAGAACTCTGCAGGGCTGCAGGTCTCTGTAAGATGAGAGGGGCCAGCGTGGCAGGGCTTGGGCTCAGGCATGGGCACAGGCAGAGAGCAGGCTGGCTATGGCCTGGGTCATGCCAATGGCAGCTGGCCTCTGTGCTGGGAGTCAGCCTGTTCCCATGCTGACCACCCATCTCTGCTCTTCTGGGTCACTGGCTAGGGGACATCCAGAGCACTGCCACCTGGCAGCCACACACAATAGGTGACCATCACTGGCCCAGCTTAGGGGGTTCCCAAATTCCCTGGGTTTTTTGAGGGTTTCCCTCAGCTAATGGGTTGTGCGTGTGTGCAGGTGAGCCCTTCCAGGCCACATCCCCATGGCTAGGATCAATAGGGTTATAGGGTGATTCAGGTGAGGAGAGACCCCAGGGGCCTGTAGCCCAACCTCCTGGTCTGAGCAGAGTCACATGTGGGGTGAGAGCAGTTTTTTCCAGGGCTTTATCCAGTCTGGCCTTGAAAACCCCCAAGAATGGTCACTGCACAGCCCTTCTGGGCAGCCTGTGCCCCTGCTTGGCTACCTACTCTCTGTAGCATTGCGGGCTTGGTAGGTGGCAAAGAACCCGTCGTCTGCTACTCCCTCATCTGCCACGAAGAGGACCGTCATGACATGGCGTGAGGAGGTCAGGGTGGGTGGCAGCTGGTGGCCGCAGAACCTGCCAGGGTTATGGGGTGAGGGATGGGGTCAGAGTGGGCAGCGGGGCTGACCAGCACCTCCCCAAACCCTGTCCTCCAGTGGTTCTTCCTCACCAGTCTCCCTTGTGCCTCAGTTTCCCCAGCTGTGAGCCACAGGAGCCCAGTGCACCCAGGCTCATGAGGCAGGGCTGGAGGTATCAGGGGTGTGGCTGTACCTGCCCATGAGGCTGGCAGCTCCCGTGCCTGCGCTATCGTGCACCTCCACGAAGTCGAAGCTGCAGTCCTCATGTGGCTCCAGGCTGAAGTTGTGGAAGTGCAGGTCGATGATGTGGCCCACGGGCACTGAGATCTGCCAGAGGCACAGCTGCAGGGCAGGGGGCAGCCAGTGATATCCGTGAAGCTGGGCAGGAGCACCCCTAGCTCTCCCAGGTGAGAGTCTTCCTTCCTCCCTGCCCACCTTCACCGCCCTCCCACCTCCATCCTGCCAGCATCCCTTCTCTCACCTGCTGGTGTGGGTATGGCTGGGGATGGCTCGGGGTGGAGAAATGCCCCTCCAAGGTGGTCAGTGGCCCCCCGCACTCTGGAGGGATATGCACACGTGGGCTTTACACCCTGCCCCTCTCCCTTCACCCCACCTCCCCACTTCCCCGCCCCTGCCTCCCACTGCCCTTGGC